TCATTCTCTCCTACCATTTATAATAGACATGTTTCTGGGAGAGGAAATTTCTGGAAACTTGCAGCTAATTTGAATGTTTATGTTTATATCTCCTATCATTGCTGTTATTTCATATTTTTATTTTCTATTTCAATGTCAGGACCTTCTTCTCCCCGTCCTTCACTCCTTCTTCCTCTTATTTTTCTGAGTTATGTTTATCCACAGTCCCTGAGCAGGTACGCCTGGCTATTATCTTCACAAAACGTTTTTCTGACACGAAAGGCTTTGACTCAGTTATCAAGGTCATTCCTTGCCCTCCTTCCATGAACCTATTTAGTTACCAATTTCTGTTCCTGAGTCTTTGTAGATGTCTGGATTCTTGATGTTTTCCTTGGATTTTAGACCTCTCTCCCCTCTCCCCCAATCTTTTGAGTGTATTTAGTCAGTGTTAGTCATGTGTTATCTAGCACTATTTCATTAGCAAGTGACTGAAATATAATTTAGACTGGCTTAAGGGAGAAAAAGGAGTTGTCCAGTTATTAGGAGCTTCAGGCACAGCTGGATCCAGGTGCTGGCATGTTTTTAGATGTTGTCCCTATCTCTTGGCCATGCTCCGCAGACTTTGTTCTCAAGCAGTCTTTCCCCAAGAGATACTAAAAGTAGCCACTAACATTTCCAAGCTTATACCCTACCAGTGAGCAACTTAACTGGGAAGAGAGTAACCCTTTTCCAGTAGGGAAATTTCCAGGGTTTACTCTCCTGGACTAACTCGGTTCACGTGCCTGGGCCTGAATTACCCACTATAGTTAAGGAGATGGAACATGCTCATCGGCCAGGCCAGGCCACATGTCTGACCCTGAGGCCGAGGGGTGGGGTGTCTGGCCCGGCTGCCGCAGCCTAGAGTGGGGAAGGGGGGCTCCCCAGCGGCTGACTGCGCGGGGACGCCGCCACGGCAGAGGATGCTCCGGGCCTGGCGCCCCAGCCCCTGCACTCCGCCCGCGCCCACCGCGGGACCCCGACCCCGTCCAGGCGGGAAACCTGGGGAGCCCGGGCGGCCGGCCTGATCGTCTGTCCCTCGCGCCCAGGCGCTGTCTTTGTTCGGTCCGCAGCCCGGTCCCCGTGCCGCCGCCGCCGGTGTCCCCTCGCAGCTCCGCGCTGTCGGCTCCCGCCCGCCGACTCGGCCGCTCCCGCTCCGCCCCTCGTCCCTTTGTGCCCCTGACTCCGGCTCCTGCCCGTGCATCAGGCCCCACTGCCGGCCGCTCGTCCTCCGCGTTTCCCGGTCTCTGCCCACGCGGGGTTCTGCTGGCTCTGATTTGTCTTCCCGCCTCGAGCCACTCGTGGGCCCAGGTCGGCGCGGGGGACACGGGGACGGGCGCTCTCTGCGCACAACGGCGAGGCCGGGCAGCGCCCCCGGCCTGCGGGCGGAACCCTGCGGTCTAGACCCCCGGGACGTGCCTCCGCAGTGTCGCTGCTGTCCCGCGCTGGCAGGTTGGCCGCGGGTCAAACAAACTGAACTTCCCTCGGCCATGGCCCCCCCAGGGACGCCCTGCTTCTTGCAGGCCCTGCGCTGTCCCGTCATGTGCGGACACAGCCCTCCAGACCCCGCGAACACGACCGAGCGTCTTCCGCCTCTGCGCCAGACTACCTGCTTCCGGCAGTGGCCCACCAGATTAACCCCTGGATTAAGGAGGGAAGCCAGGCGCACCCGCCATGCGCCCTCAGTTCCCGCCCTGTGATACTCTTCCAGGGAAGCTCGAACATTGATGCGGAGTTCATCCTGGCACAGTTCGACCTTGACTACCAGGACAGACCCGGCCACGACGTGCTCCCCACGCTGAGGCCAAACCCGGTTCCTCTGGAGCTAAAGCCCAGGCTGGGGCTCAGCAAACAGCAGGAGCTGGAATTCTTCCAGAAGCTAGACTACGAGAGGAAGCTCCAGAAACCACAGGTAATTGCAGAGGGGGCCCGACTGAAAAGCACAATTAAATCGTGCTGAAGTCTTGAATGTTCTCGAATTCTGTACTGCAGGGGGCGCTGGCTTTGGAAAGTAGAATTCTTGAAATTTTTTGACGGTGAATAAATATTTGTTAAATGCATGGAGATGTTTAATGCATTTAGCAAAGTCATTTATACAAACAAGGCATGTCATTCAGAGTTATTTTTAGTATGTGAGTAGTCATTTTCAGAGATAATCTTTTTATATGTTTTATATGTCGAAATTCTAACAGTCAGTGGAAATATACCCGAATGGCCATAACTGCAAGAGTAAAATGCTGCCATTAATGGCTGCAAATGCTGTTAATTTTATGTCCAAAGAATTCTTGAATTTTTGCTGGAGTCTTACCACGAACCATCATTGCTGACCACACGCTTGCCTAATTATTAACAAATTGCTCAGTTCCCGCAGCACCAAGTTGCTGTGAGGATGGAAGAACAAGGTAACAGGAAGGAGAAATAACACGCTGTGTTTTAGAGGCTTCCCAGAGCGCTTTTTAACTTTTCTACATAATATGTCGCCGCAATTGTACACACAAGTCCCCTTCTGTAAGGCAGCGATGGACTGCCTAAGCTGGGGGTGGCAGGACTTCCTTTCCCTGAAAGTGCGAAACAGTACATTCTCTCTAATTATCCTCTGCCTTTTACGTATTATCTTTGATATTATATTTCCAGTATTTTGAACATCTTAATTTTGTCCTTTACAACTGAAGGCAATTGACCAGTCTGTTTTGACATGCGTGATGTTTCTATCCTTGACTCCGTTGCATAAAGTTTATGAAAACACTGCACTAATGAAAACACGTCACTAACATTAGGTCTTTGATTTTTCCATTTTCCTCTCATCTTTCTAAATGGCAAAATGCATAATGGTGCTGGACAGGCTAATTATGTCCCTTGCAGCTGAGGCCTGAACCACTGCTTGTCCTGACTCTGGGCTGAATAAAATTGCACAAGTTCCTGTACTTACAAATCCTGTGCAAACACTGCTTTATAAACCAGGGGGGTTATTGCCAAAATTGAACTTTCGACTGGCAGATAGAGGGCCACTGTGCAAAGTTCAAAATATATTATTTCCACTTAGTATCATTTTTATTCTGCCTGAAGGACTTCTTTGAATATTTCTTCCAGCGTGGGTCTGCTTTATACCAAGGTATATAATGATAAAAGTGCAAAACAGTGACAAAGAGAAAATCTTAAAAGCATCCAAGGAAAAAAAACACATCCAGAAAAGCAAAGATAGGCTGCTGTAGGGTTTCTCACCAGAATCAACACAACCAAGAAGACAAGGGAGCAATGTCTCTAGCCGGGCGTGGTGGCGCACACCCTGGTCCCAGCCACGCAGGAGGCTGAGGCGGGAGGATGGCTTGAGCCCAGGAGTCTGAGTTTGCAGCGAGCTATGATGATGCCACTGTACTGTAGCCTCTAGCCTGGGCAACAGAGCAAGACCCTGTCAAAAAAAAAATTGGAAAAATTTTTACCATTATTTCTTTAAATTTTCTTTTGTCTTTCAACACCCTCCCAGTACTCTAATTACATGTAATTAGGATGCTTGAAGTTGTCTCATGGCTCTGTTCAGTTTTTAAATTCTCTTTTTTTTCCTGTGTTTCTGTGGCTATGTCTTTACGTTCTCTAGTTTTCCCCCCTGCAGTGTCTAATCTGCTGTTAATCCCATCCAGTATAATTTTTTATCTCATATATTATAATTTTTACCTGTGGAAGTTTGACATGAGTCTTTTTATAAATATGTATCTTCCCTGTCTCCACTTAATCTCTTTTTTTTTTTTTTTTTTTGAGACAGAGTCTTGCTCTGTTGCCTGGGGTAGAGTGCAGTGGTGTCATCGTAGGTCACTATAGCCTCAAATTCCTAGGCTCCAACAATCCTCCTGCCTCAGCCTTCCAAGTAGCTGGGACTGCAGGTGCGTACCACCATGTCCAGCTAAATTTTTTATTTTTTGTACAGATGGGGTCTCCCTATATTGCCCAGGCTGGTCTTGAACTCCTGGCCTCAAGCAAACCTCCCACCTTGGCCTCCCAAATACTAGGATTACAGGCGTGAGCCACGACACCGTGCCTCTACTTATATTTTGAACGTATGGAATACAGTTATAATAATTGCTTTGATGTCATTGTCTGCTAATTCCAACATCTGTATCAGTTCTGTGTCAATTTCCATTAATTGATTTACCTTGTCATGTTTTCCTGCATTTCCTGGTAGTTTTTGATGGATGCTGGATGTTGTGAATTTTACCTTACTGGCTGTTGAGTATTTTTGTATTACTGTAAATATTCCTGAACTTTGGGATGCAATCAAGTTACTTAGAAAAGTTTGATCCTTTTGGGTCTTGCATTTAAGATTTGCGGGGAAATGTAATGTGTGGGCGCTGCGTTCACAGCCTCAGGCTACGAGCCGAGCCGGCCAAGGCCTGTCTTGGCATCCTCAGTGCGCTGCTGAGGAACAGGGCAAGGAAGGGGATGGGATCCTTTCTTCCTCCTCTTTCTCTCTTCCAATTACGGAGGCAAGAGGTTGGTGTTAGGTAGCCGTTTGATCGAAAATAGTGTACCATTTGGAAGGCTGAGCACACAGCTGGGCTCATAGTAAGTCTAATAACTTATTATTTTGGTCGACTGAGTGTTCAAGGTCATTACCCTTGGGGGAAATATGTGATTTTTGCATGATTTCTAGCTGCTTGACATACATTCTCTCCTTTAATCTTCACGACAACCCTGTGGGGGTGGGAACTACTGTTATCTCCATTTGCAGACGAAGAATTGGTCACTTGCTCATGGACTCACAACTACTAAGTGGGGAAAGCTGGCCTTGAACCCAGGTTTGTCAGAATTCAAAGGCCATCTTACTAACCACTACATTAATTTTTCAATCATGAAATTTTCATGTTTCCTTTGTCAAATCAAAGCATGCTGAGACTTCACAAAATACTTCGGCAAGGACCAACCGTAAATTCAAAGCAATGGTACCGCCTTCATAAGTTAAACTTTAGATTTATGGAAATGACAAACCAAAAAAACTAACGGCATCGGGAATTATGTTACTTCCTGTAGAATCCTCATAAACCGAAGACGGTGAAGATGAGGTACGGAGCGTGGTATCTGGACACCAAGTTGTGGAAAAAGCAAAGAGCGGATGAACCCCTGGTCGACCCTAAGGTCTCACACAAAGCTCCAGATGAGAATTTTAAAAAGGGGCTGCAGGAACAGGTATGTGTGCTGCCCGTGCTGAGATCTGATCACTGTGCATCTGCCCCCCATACTGAGGCCAGAAACTCGTGACACAGAGGCTCTCGGAAGCCCTGCAGTTTGCATATTTTCTTTTTTAAAGGTAAAAATGGATTTTATTTATTTGTACTTAAACCAGGCAAACTGGTACTGATAGCATCATGATTCAGCCAAATACACTAGATCTTTCTACATATATTACAGTAAGGAACACATTAGGGGTTGTAGTGAAACACAGAGCCAAAAGGGACAGAGGAAATCCATGACGTGCATTCTAGCTTCACCCTTCACCTGAACAACTGAGTTGTTAATAAGTAAAGCCTCCCAATCCTTCACACCTCTTTGTACTTTTTACTATCTATTCTTTTATTCCTTTTTTGTTTGTTTTTTTCTTGTGTAGACATGGCAATGTCTAGACATTTACTATCTATTCTTGCAGTTAGATTCTAAATCCGAAAGGTATCCAAACTGGTATTATATCTACTTATCTATAGCCAGAGATGTCTTCTACCACTATCATCTTGTCTGTAGCAGCCAAGATTATTGGAACGTCTTTGATTAGACTGCAATCATTCTCCACTCCAAATTCAATGCAATGTGCACACCAAGAACCAGAATATAGAGGCAGAATCCTGAGCTCTAAAACAAGAAAAACCCTAGAAGTTCTGCTCAGACTGAAACTGAGTAACATACGTATCCTCACGCTGCATGTTCACTGAGTAATTTTGGAATGACCCCATGGCCAGTTTGCTTATTGAATTCAGCAATGAGGAAGTGAAGCCGTAACATGGACATGTGTAATAAGCAGGACTTGAAATCTCCTGGCTTCTTGGTAGAGACAATGTCTCTAAAGATGGGACAGCCATTCATGGTTGTTCTACCATTCTTGGAACAATTGCTTCCACGGATAATTGTTCAAAGGGTGGCGTGGCCTGGTAGAACCGCCTTAGCGCTCAAAATGGACATGACGTCATGGGTTCTCTTTGGGTAACTAAATGTGAAGCTTTTTCTTATCAGCAGTGGATGAATGTCAAAGAACTCAAAATTGCAATCGGGAAATTTCTTTTATGCAATTCATTTGAGTTGCGGAGTCTGCCTGAGAGGCAAGGGGCAAAGGTTAAGTACTGTTTGATGTTGCAAAGCAACAAACACGCAAAGGATGTGCTCTAATTTTCCTGCGGATAAGCTCTGCGCCCGCCCATCTCTTGTGTGAACTATCTAATGGAAAGAAGATACTCGTTGTAGTCTTGGAAATTTGGAAGTATTGACACAACACTTCCGCAGGACTCTGATGAGAATATTTGTGAACCTCTTCTCTTTTTCAAAGACCCAAAACTTCTCCCAAGTAGCAGATATGAAAACACATTGAAAAAGTACAATACTATACAAATTTGGCTTTTCATTCATCAGTAATCACTTATCAATCGCCTCCTCCAGATTGGACAGCTCAGACAGGAAAGATGGTCATTTTTACCTTTTCCAGTATTGGGTATAAATTCTTTTATTTATTTATTTATTTTTTTTTTGAGACAGAATCTCACTCCGTTGCCCGGAGTAGAGTGCCGTGGTGTCAGCCTAGCTCACAGCAACCTCAAACTCCTGGGCTCAAGCAATCCTACTGCCTCAGCCTCCCGAGTAGCTGGGACTACAGGCATGCGCCACCATGCCCGGCTAATTTTTTTTTTTCTATATAGATTTTTAGTTGTCCAAATAATTTCTTTCTATTTTTTTTAGTAGAGATGGGGTCTCGCTCTTGCTCAGGCTGGTCTCGAACTCCTGACCTTGAGCCATCCACCCGCGTCGGCCTCCCAGAGTGCTAGGATTACAGGCGTGAGCCACCGTGCCCAGCCTATAAATTCGTATTTTCAGGTGTGAGGCATGACAGATTTACAAGCACAACATGCTTATATAAGCCTTGAAATCATAAATAATGTTTAGCAGAATTTCTTGGCATGGTTTTTGGAGCTGCCCATCTATGTTTATATGACGTTAATAAATAACATAAAACTATTCTAGTTGTACTTGATAAAACTAACATTTTCTCAATGAATTACATATTCAAAAACTAAAATAGTTACAAACTTTTGTTTCAAGGTATCTAGAAGTTCTTTTTAAAAATGTTTTTAACCACTAATTCCTAAAGACTTACAGAGTTTTGCGAAACATATTTCATTTTGACGGCGAATGCTGGTAAAGATGTTTGCCAAAATAGTTACTGTAGTCAGCTTATGAAAATGTAGTATCATTTAAATTATGGGAAATATAGTTGTGTAACTATTAGAGTAAAAGATCGTCTATAAGGAGTTTCAGACACAGGAAGGATTCAAAACAATGAAATTGTTCTACAATGATGTTTATAAATTACACGTTTTCATTACCTGAGCGATCTTTTACCTCACGCACTTCAGGTGGTGCCACCAAGCTCTGGCCCCCGGCTCACAAGACACGGGCGTGTAACTGTGATGACACGACTGTCTTGCTGGGGACGCAGGAGCTTTGACTGTTCTTGATTGATTTGGTTTAGAAAGTGAAACGGTCTTAACGTACTGAATTGCAATTATGTTAACTTATATAACCCATTTTAAAATTCAAATAAGTGTAAAGAAAAACCGAAAGGATGTACGAATACTGAGAGGATGTTGGGGCTGACCTTGTCTGTTCGATTGTCATGCCATCTGGAGTTAAGATTCCAGACATCCTAGGTTAACACTGGCTAATTGCTACAATAAAATGGTTGCTAATTTTTAATACAAGGGCAAGGAAAAGGGAAAGAAAGTTGAACATCTTTGAAAACCTTCATATTCATCAACTTGTGAACATTATTTTCACACATAGCCAGCAAGGGGAAGGAGGTGGTTTAAAATGAGGCACTTTGTAAAGAGCTAAGTGTTTTTCATCAGGACAGACGCGAACTCAAGCTCTGACGGTTCTTCGCTGTGGACACTCTTTCAGGAGCAGTTCCTTGCAGACCTTCATGGAACAGTTGCCTTTAAGGATTTCATTCTAAGCAGGGGCTACAGGATGCCGAGTGTGAGTACAGGGTCATTGCAGACACCCCTGGTGGTGGCTTCGTAGCCCACGGTTGTTGATGGGAGGGGGTCAGCACCCTGACAAAATCCGAATGCCTCTCTACGGGGGCACGCACCGCGACTCAGGACCCTGGACGACAAGGGCGCGCTTCCCCCAGACAGAGGCTCAGAGAGAGGAGGCGGCATTTTGCCCTTTCTAGGCTGCCTGTTTGGTTTCTGCTGCGGTCAGAGGTGCCGCTTCCCTGCCCACATTCGGCCCACCTGCCGTGGCTTTGGCCTCAACAGGACCCGAAGTGAAAGGGTCGGTGTGCAGGGAGTGTGCCTTGCAAACCCTGCCTGTTGCTGACTGCTCTGAATTCCCTAGGACGTCTGCCAATCTCCTTTACTTCTGTGTCTAAGGACAAAGAGCTGTGGCTTGGGTCGGGACAAAATAGAGTTGGGATCTGCAATTTTATCATTGTGCGATCAGCTTGGCTTCCAGTGGAAACAGGCCACGGCCAAAGTTCGCTTCCAGTGGGGGGGCTGGGTGGCGGTGGGGAGATGCGGAGGGTAGTGGAGGGGTGGAGCTGGTGTCTTCTGTCATTTTCCCTTTCTTCTTTTCTGCCTTCTGGTTTCCCCTCCCTGAACTTGTAAAGCTGGCCCCAGCTGCCTCCCACATGGAGTGCCCCCCTCCCTTGGAAGACCGGTCCAACAGGGGTGCAGTGGAGGCCGGCAGAAGGGACCACAGAGCAGGAGGCCTGCAGCCTGGACTTGTGTGCCCAGACCAGCCCTGTCACCGCGGCAGAAACCCGACCGGCATTCGGGGCCACAGCTGTAGCTAATAATAAGTCCTGCATTTGTCCGCTGTCCTCTGTGCGCACAGCCCTGAAGGTCTTAGGAGGCAGTGCAGCTGGGATGGTCACAAGCTGCTGGCATGGGGGGTTGGATTTCTGTGTTTTCAAGAGTGATAGAACTAACAGCTTATACTTACCAGAAAATAAATGTAGTGACCCAGCTCAGAGCCAGACTGGTTTCAAAGCTGAATCAGGCAGGTCTCGAGCATGAGGTGGAGTATGGGATTAGAAGGCTTCATCGCAGCACTAGGATAGAGTGTCTGCTTTAGCTTCGAACAGCAATAACAGGCCTGCGAGATGTATTTAACAGACTTATACAAATTCACATACTTGTAGTAGCTGCCTAAGCTATATATAAGCTTCACAGAGATATATTAATATATATTTATAGGTATACTAAATATTCTTAATATTACATAATTGTATATATGTTTATATATTTATATTATATGTAAATATGTAATTATATAAGTGTGTGTGTGTGTGTGTGTGTGTGTGTGTGTATAAAAAAATTCCTTATTTGATCTAGATGTTATTATGACTCATTTTTCTACCTTGGTATTTTTAGTGGCAAAATACACTCTTTTTTTTCCATTTTTATTTGTCCCCTATTGGTTTAATCCATTCTGTTGATGAACATTTAGTTCAGTTTTGGGCAAAAGGAAGCACACCTGACACACGGGCATCACTCTTCTCAGCCACATTAACTAAAGAGGGACGATGCCCCTGGCCATGGCTGAGTGCCCTGAGGACACCCATCACTCAAAACACAGCAGGTTTTTGTCCCTTTATTCTTCCATCCTATATTCTCTATTTTGTTGGTAAGATGTCAACTCAAAGAGAGAAGGGAATCTCTGTGGCAAGGGAGCTACGCGCATACACGCACGCACAGAGTGCATGTCTACTGACATTACTGAAACTTATATGTGACCACTCATTTTCTTCGTCACTCCCATCGTGTTTGTGTATGCTGCATACATGCACACCCACGCACGCTGCATGGGCACGTGCATTACACACACACTCCAGTGTCCGCTACCGGGTTATCCGCTTACCCACAGCTTCCCTTCCTCGGCCCCCCAGGTGGATCCCAGACCCCCAACAGCAAGGCTGGGTGGCACCCGGCTGTGCTGGGCTGGGCCGGGCACAGAACAAGTGTGAATTCGAACTGGGTATTTCTGATGCCGCACAACTGCCTTCCAAAGACCCACATCTGCCGTGGTCGGATTATCAACACGTGACTTTGTGCAGCGTCAGGACACGTGTCAGAGTGTGCAGTTGGAGTTTGGGCATGATAGTGGCCGAGGGGAGGGCTGCATTGCACAGTTTTTGTTTGCTGCTCTAATGAGGGTTCTCTCGTTTGTTTTTAGTTCCTTGAGAAGATGCGCCCCAGGAAGGAATGTGAGCGTGCGTGTAGTAAGACTCCCATAAAACTAACTCGAGCATAGAGGAATCTTGGGGAGGTGATCAGTCAGATTTTATTGACTATATACTTGGCTATTTCTCTCTCTCATTTTACTCATTAAACAGAATCCGTGATGAGCGTGCCATTGCGGATGTTCATCTTCGACTTGGCAGCATCCGCGCATGTAGTGCATGACACTTGTAAACATTTCTCGATGACCTTCTGCTTCAATGAATCAGTATTTTATACATTTTATCAACTATGAGATCAGTAATCACATGTAGTCTGACATTTTTGTAGCATTGTGAATATTACCTAGGTATATGTGCTATTTGTAAAAGTAAATAAAACAATAAATATTAATAAAAGCAGAATCACTCTATTTCATTTTTTTCAGGGTATTATTTTCCCTGGTTTTGAGTGAGCACTTCCTTTTCTGTTTCTTTACAGTATGATTTTCTTTCATCTGGATTAAGCTTGCCGAGGCCTTTTTGACGGTTTTGGCATTGCTGTGGTTTGGATGTGGTTGGCCCCACCGAGGCTCATGTTGAAATTCCATCCCCAGTGTGGCAGGAGGGGTCGGATTGTGGGGATCCCTGGGGAATGGCTTGGTGCCGTCTTTTGGGAGTGGTCTCACTCTTGGGTACCTGGAGAGCTGGCTGTTCAAAGGAGCCTGGCAGCTGCTCCTCCTCTCTTGCCTGTGCTCGCCTTGTGCTCCGCGTGGCCCTGTCACCTTCTGCAGCGACCGGAAGCAGCCCGAGCCCTCGCCAGAAGCCGATGCTGGCACCATGCTCCTGTACAGCCTGTGGAACTGTGAGCCAAGTAAACCTCTTTTCTTTATAAATTACGCAGCCTTGGGTATTCCTTTATGGCAACACAAATTAAGACAGGCATGCTAGTCTTGATAATAATGTGTATCTATAACTAAGGTCATAGGTCAGAAAGTTTAATGGAAACTCTAGGTGACATTTATATTTTAATTATGTTTTTTAAATTATTTTTTATTTAAAAATGTTAATGTTAGGCCGGGCGTGGTGGCTCACGCCTGTAATCCTAGCACTCTGGGAGGCTGAGGTGGGTGGATCGCTCAAGGTCAGGAGTTCGAGACCAGCCTGAGCAAGAGCGAGACCCCGTCTCTACTAAAAATAGAAAGAAATTAATTGGACAACTAAAAATACATAGAAAAAATTAGCCAGGCATGGTGGCGCATGCCTGTAGTCCCAGCTACTCGGGAGGCTGAGGCAGGAGGATCACTTGAGCCCAGGAGTTTGAGGTTGCTGTGAGCTGCTAGGCTGACGCCACGGCACTCTAGCCCGGGCAACAGAGTGAGACCCTGTCTCAAAAAAAAAAAAAAAAAAAGTTAATATTCATCTTAGGAAAATCAGAAAATACAGACTAGCAAAAAAAAAAAAAAAATGGAATATAACGATACTTCCTATGGGGTGAGCAGTAACCACTCTCCACTCATTGGAATGGATCCTAGATCTTTCTCTAAGAAACACACTCTGGATGATTTACTCAAAAAAGAATTTATTAAAAGGATGTTGAATTGCACAAAATATTAATATCTTTATGGACAGAGGACCAGCTGTGGTCACTCTAGTTGGGGCGACAGAGGAAGACTTTGTCTCGAAAAAAATAATAATAGTAAATTGAGGTGCAGGGATGGAGAATAGGGGAGGGCTGACTGCGGTGGGGAGGCTGCTCCGAAGAGCATTCTGACCCACGTTCTCTCCAGGAACAGTTTGCACCCAGTGGGGATGGGCGGTTTTCAGTCCTTATTGCAATTAACTTGAATTGTTTCTACTTGCGAGAAGAGCTGGCTGGCAGGGCATGGCCTGGCAGGGCCACGCAGACAACAGAGGGAGCCCAATGGTGGCTCCTGGCTCTCCCCCTCCTGCGAGCCGAGGATGCTCCCTGACTTGAGCCTGAAATGATTTCACGTTTTTCTCTTCCTTCCTCCCTCCATTCCTTCCTCATGTCCTCCCGAAGCCTGTGAGGTCCGAGCCAGCCTGCTCCTTAGTCTCCTGGAGCAAGGAGGAGGGCGGCCCGCAGACTGCAGCATCAGCATCAGCTGGCAGCTTGTTAGACACGCAGAATCCCAGGCCCCACCGCAGACCTATTTATTTATACATCCTCCCTTCTCCCAACTCCATTCCTATGCCTTTGCCCACCAAGACACTCCTTTTCATGTGTTAAAAATTGTCCTTAAACATTTATGTGTCTTTGAAACCTCAGCAGTGTTGAATGTGAATGTATTTTCAATTTGCATAAATGTTATTATACTATAAATCTTATTGTTTCTTGCCTTTTGGGTCACTGTTATGTGTTTAAGATTTAATCATTTTGCTGTGTGTAGATCTAGTTCACTGTTCTAACTACTGCACGACATTTCGTGGGTATTCAACACGTCTTACTCAGCTGTTTCCCCACCAGGAACAGCTAGGTGGCTTAGAACTTGCCCTGGGCCCAGATAACACCATGCGTCCCTTACAGTCTTGAGCAAATTTTCCTTTGGGCCACACATGTTGAGGAGTGGCATTGCTGGGCCATTGGGTATACGCATATGTAATCTCACAAGATTCTTCCAGATTGTTTGAACTTGTTTACTCCTCCAAAGATGCAGTGCTGCGTCTTCTTTCTCATCTTTGCCTCTCTGATGGATGTGAAGTGGTGTAACATCTCATTTATCTTATTACCAGTGAGTCTGAACATTTCTGTGTCTATTAATTCCATTCAGTGAAAAATTGCTGTGCCTATTATGTTCCAGGCATTATTCTAGACATGGAGAAAAGAGCATCCTTTGTCCTTTTTTATATTGGTTCTAATGTTTTTTTCTTGTCAATTTTTAAGAGATCATTGTAGATCTAGATATTAAAATTTAGACAACACAAGTATCTTGCCCCAGTCTGGCTCTATCTGGTAACTTCGTCAATGGTATCCTTCATTGACCAGACAGCACTATTTTAATGAAGTCAAAACATTTTTTTGACTTCATAAGAGTTAGGTAATGTCATATTGACAGTTCCCTGGATTTTTGTTCTGTTAGCTTTGTAGTACAATCGTTTACATTGAGGCCTTTATTTCACCCGGAGCCCACCCTTTTATGTGGTATAAAGTAGTGATCCAGTTCTATTTTCCTCCATCTAATGAGCTAGTTTTTCCAACCTAGATCTCCCTTTCACAAAGTCTTCATCATTTAGCACAACCAATCTCAGTCTCGAGTCTACTCTGGAACTAAGATGAGTCAGGGTTTGCAAACAGCTTCGGCTGGAAAATGTCTCTGTGGAACCTGACACCCGGCCGCTCCAGTGTGGCTGCTTTGCAGAGACGTTTTACTTGCGGTTGATGTTATGTGGAGTCCCAGGAGCCAGAGGTTTGACAGCGACAGACAGGTGCTGGTGGCGATAAGTACATGTCCCTAAGGAAGAAGGGGGCTTGTAGAGAGGGGAATTATAAATCAGGAACCAGTCTGAAAGTCGCCGTAAATGTTGGAACACGCCCAGAAGGGTTCTCTGGTGTCGCACATCCAAATATGCACACTCACTTCTAAAATTTATGCTCTGAAATCTGAACATGGTGTAAGAGTCGTCAGGATTCAGGGCAGCTAGAGTTTCAGAGCATGGGTCCTGCGGTCAGAATACCAGGTGGAAATCCCAGCTCGGGCGCTGATCCGCTATCTGACCTTGGGCGGACTTCTCTCCCGCGTGGCACGCGCTGGTGCCCGGTGCGAGCACGGATTGGGTATTCAGTAAACAAAACAGCAACAAGAAGGCCTGTTACATGGCAGTCTTGACATTCCGTGGAATGTCAAGCTCTTGAACAAGCTCTGACCCTCAGTGGATTTATGATCTAAAGTGGGGATGAGACAAATTACACAAATAATTATTCTGTAAGAGAAAATCTGGTGTGATCGAACTGGGGCTTGTTAGGAATAATACGTGACACTCTGATCACTCAGAAATCCCAGGGGCTCCAGGAGCTCTGGGCCAGGAACACAGGGACGAAGACCAAATGTCTTTCTTATTCGACCACCCCCGTGAAGAAGTGACAGGACCCGAGGGGGAAGTCCCCCTACAGACATGTCTTTGCCCAGTGGCTATGTTCTGCCTTCTCTGCTTTTCTTAAAACTTCAGCTGGATTTCCCTCCTCCCACTCCAATAACCTCACTCCCGGCCTCCTCTGTATCGCAAAATGTTTCTTATTTTCATCCTTTTCTTTTTGCATGCCCATCTCCTGTCCTTCCTCAATCCGAGGCCTCCGCCCGCGCGGGATTCCCAGATCTTTCCTGCCTTCCTCGCGTCTTCAGGCTCCGTCTCCACTGGCTCCTTCCTGCTTCCAAACGAGCTCGGGTCTCTGCTGGTTTGCAAGAGCTGCCCTTCAGCCTTGGTGTGTGTGCTCTCGAGCCTCCCTGCGATCTGTCTCCCAGCTCTCGCGTCCACACTTCTCAGGAGAGAGCCGACCCGGTGCTGGACGTCTCAGCCTTCCCGACCCCGCTCCGCAGCTGAAATCAGCTCCCGCCGCACAGACGTCGCCGAGCGCCAGTGGCCGCTCATCGCCCAATCCAGCCATTTTGTCCTCAGTCCTCTATCCGCTTAAGCTCTGCTAAGCGACACCTCCATTCCCCGCCCCCCCGCCACCTTCTCGAACTGCTTTCCCTCCCTGGCCTTGGCTCCCTCTTTCCTAGCCCTTCCTTGCCACCCTCTTTCGCCTCCCTGGCCCTGCGAACAAAGCTGCTTTTCATTGTTTTGTTCTCCTCCCTCTACACCAGAATTAAGCAATTGTTTCTTGATTAAGGTTAAAGGGAAAAAATATGTAAATATGATACATTTTAAAAGATCCATCTCTGTTTATACTTTATTAACTTAAATAATATCAATTAGAAAATGAGTGCTACATTATGGCCCCTAAGACATAACATCGAGACATCTTGCAACATAAGTAGCACCATGGGGCAACTTTCTAATCTTTCTTTGTGCAACAGTGCCAGGGGCTGAAGTTGGGCTCATCCTTCCTTCCCCTTGGAAACACTGATCTCTACCACAGATGCAAGCACCACCTCTTCCTGAGGAATTTCCAACATCTCCAGCTCTGACCTTCAAACTAGAGAAAATGCCCCCAGTTTAACACACACCAGCAGCACTCCTCATCTTCCCCGGTCCCCACCAGATCTACTTGCCTCTTTTGTTCCCTGACGTCATTTTCCTAGGCACTCAGAGGGTTGTATGTAGAGTGATAAACATGGGTATCATCAGTGCAGTAAGAATGTTTTTAGAATATGTAGCTATAAACTTTTAATAAAATGGCAATTTTATTAAATGGAGCAATTTTAAAAAAATCAGCAATATGAAAATTGACAAGTTGAGGCCGGGCACGGTGGCTCACGCCTGTAATCCTAGCTCTCTGGGAGGCCGAGGCGGGCGGATTGTTTGAGCTCAGGAGTTCGAGACCAGCCTGAGCAAGAGCGAGACCCCGTCTCTACCAAAAATAGAAAGAAATAAATTGGACAGCTAAAAATATATAGAAAAAAAATTAGCTGGGCATGGTGGCTCATGCCTGTAGTCCCAGCTACTTGGGAGGCAGAGGCAGTAGGATTGCTTGAGCCCAGGAGTCTGAGGTTGCTGTGAGCTAGGCTGATGCCACGGCACTCACTCTAGCCCGGGCAACAAAGTGAGACTCTGTCTCAAAAAAAAAAAAAAAAAAAAAAAAAAGAAAATTGACAAGTTGACATTTAAGTTTGGAAAAGCCCAAAGGAAGGCCAAATATTGTTCTTTAAAACTGTTGCATGATAAATCTGGTACAATGTAAAAAGAATTCTGATGGGTTGGGAAGAATTATGTAATTTTTCGGTGATATTTTTAATAAATGAAGCAATTGACAATAACAATAAACTTTTATTAAGAGCCTTCTAGGTATCATAGATGAATAGTGGGGCTTACATTCCAGGAGTTTACCAATTCTCTTGGATTTCATCCATTAGCACACTGATTTAAAAAAAAACCGACTTTGACCAATGAAGTAGCAACTGCAGTTGTCAGTGAGGAGATAAAAAGAAAACGTTCAAGCATTTTCATAGTATTTATAAAACCATCTATTGACTTTACAGTTTTTCATTCACAGACACCTGAAGACATCAAGTTTTACTTTGACAAAAGGAGATAGAATAATTCTGTATGTTTCTATAAAATTCTGACTATTAGAAAATTCGATCTATAATAGACTTACAATTTAAGAATCAATTGGTAAGACACAGTCCATAAAGAGGATGTTATTTTATACAGTGATATTTATTTTCTTAAAAATACAGCTTTACAACCACTTTTTGTTATTTTCACACCCCTCTCCAGATTCACCTTAAGACTGCCTGAGTTGGCTGTCGGTAGTTCTAAACTTCAGAAGTCTTTAAAAAGTCCACCATTGACTCTCCAATTAGTTTAAGACATAAAACCTGTTTGACAAACAGTAATATCTAGATTATACTAAAAAATGCAGATGGAATCTATGTAAGGAAAATGACAATAATGCTTCCGAGTGAGAATGTGCGGGGCTTTAATTCATTCAACTGTTCCCTCAGTACCCACTCTGGGTATGTCAGAGGTGCTGGGAATTCAGCAGGGAACAAAGAACAATGCTCTTGTGTCATTTACACGCCAAAGGAAGAAAAAGGAATTAAACAACCACAGGGATTACAGGGTATATTAAAAGCGATGCCGAGTCCTACTCAGAACAAGCGGCCAGGGCAGGGGACAGGGAGTGGGGAGTTGTCATTAACATCAGGACTGTCAGGGAAGGGCTCACGGGGCAGATGACGTTTTTGCCAAGACCTGAAGAGGACCAGGGCGAGAGGAGACCCGCAGGAAGGATGACTCCAGGCAGGGACACCAGCGTGGCTCCAGGGGGCAGGCGGAGGCGAGCCCAGAGAGATCACGGGGACAGATCCTGTGGAGTCTGAGAGGTTTTTGCCATGAGATCTAGAGCCGTCGGAAGCTCTTGAGCAGAGGACTGACATGATTGGAGGGTTTTACCAGGAGCGCTTTGACTGCTGGTTTGAAAGTAGCCTGTAGGAACTTGTTTCACTTTGTTGCGTTTTAGAGCAATGGGAAGGCTGCGGTTGCAGTTCCTGAGGCCGGGAAGCGGAGGTGGGTAGCAGGTTCGGGGAGGAAGGTGTGGGGTTCAGGTCTGGGGAGCTGGGCTGGGGATCCGTATCAGGCACCCAGGAGGAGACGCCCGGCAGGCGGTCCTTCCCTCCCGCCCCGTGCTTGTACCGGTACGACCTGCACCAGCCGCCAGTCTGCCCTCGCGTCCCTCCGCTGTCCCACCGCAGCGAGCCGAGCCGTGCTAGTCGTCGCTGCAAGGGGACTGTTCGCCAGCTGGGCCTTTCGCCGTCGGATGCGGGAGGGTGCGGCCAAGGAGGGCTCGCGCTCGGGACACAAACGTAGGGATCGTCAGCTCCAAGGTGTGTGTCAAGCCACCAGAGCAGAAGTATGAATTTTTAAAAAAAATGTGTATAATTCTTAGATCGCAGCGTGGTTGTTTTGTGAGGATCAAATGAAATATATACATTAAAAAAAGTCTGGAATACAGACAGCGCTTAATAAAGGGTTGCTATTGTTATTGATAAACTCATCTGTAGGAGCTCGTCCCGACAACATCCGGTCCAGACAGGGGGCGCCTATTTTGCAGCAACCATACACCCCAGACAGAGGTCGAGGAAGAAGCAAGGACTGCACGTGCTTCAGATCTGGCATCTATAGGTGGACGGGTCCTCAGTCCAATCCTTCCATTTTACCTTATCTCAGAGACAGGGTCTCGCTCTGTCGCCCGAGGGCCGTGGCGTCAGCCTAGCTCACAGCAACCTCCAATTCCTGGGCTCAAACGATCCTCCTGCCTCAGCCTCCCGAGTAACTGGGACTACAGGCATGCGCCACCATGCCCGGCTAATTTTTCTATTTTTAGTAGAGACGGGGGTCTCGCTCTTGCTCAGGCTGGTCTCGAACTCCTGACCTTGAGCGATCCTCCCGCCTCGGCCTCCCAGAGTGCTGGGATTCCCGGCGTGAGCCACCGCCCGGCCCATCCTTCCATTTTAAGCACCGGGCGGCGGGGGCGCGGGGAGGCCGAGCGCAGCTGCCACGACTCTCCGGGTTTCCCGCCCCGCCCCGCCACGCGCCACCTCTCCGGCCGGAGCCCCAGGCGCGTCACCGGCGCCCCGGGCCGCTGCCGCCTCCCGGCTCCTGGAAGCCGCTGGCCGCCGCCGGCGTCAGGGGGAGGCGGGAGCGCAGGGCCGGGGGCGGCGCCCGGCTGCGCACTTGGGCCCTTTCCGCGCGCGGGACCTGCGCGCACCGCGGCACCGCAGCCCGGGCCGGGCGACCGCGGGGCGGGGACGGGCCGCGCAGCGACCGCGGGGCGGGGCTGGGAAGTCGAGAGCTGGTCGCGGGGCCGGGCCGCGCCGGGGCCGCCGCAGGGACCGTAAAAGGACGGGGCGGGCGGTGGGTGTGGCTCTGGCGGGGAGAGCCGCGTCCGGGCCTCGAGCCCGTCGTCTCCCGCGGCCGCGGCCTCAGCCATGGGCGCCGTCTGGTCCGCCCTGCTGGTCGGCGGGGGTCTGGCCGGGGCGCTCTTCGTGTGGCTGCTGCGGGGCGAGCCCGGGGACGCGGAGCCGGAGAAGGACGCCCCTCCTGGGGCGGCGGCGGCCCCGGGAGGCGACCAGGGCGGCGGCGGCGGGCTGAGCCCGGGACCTTCCGGGCAGGAGCCGGTCACCAAACCAGGTATTCTCCCTCCCCGGTCTCGAGGGCACATGCGCCAGGCTTTGAGGCTCTTCGAGGAAGGGAGGAAAGAAGCCCACCCGGGGCTTTCCCGGCGGCCCAGCCCCGCGGAGCGTCCCCCGGCCCTGGTCTGCCGCGCGGTGCGAACGGCCGCTGGGTGCGCGGCCCCGGGGAGGTCCGGGGCTGGCCTGGCGGGTCTCTGCCCGGCCTGCGGAAGGGAGCGCTTGGGGTTCGGGGCCCACTGCCCTCTTCGGTCTCCGGCCGAGCAGGGGCGTGTTCCCCGCCCGTCCCACACCCCACGGAACGCCCGGCCCCGCCTGCTCTCCAGACGCTTCTGTCCGGGAGGCAAAGTTCAGGCCGGGCTCTGGCCCAAGCCCGGGGCCGCGCGTTTCAGAGCCGTCGGCCTCCCCCACGGCCCGGAACGGCGCAGGGCGGTCTCCTCCCTGGGAAGGGACTAGTTAATAGGGGCACTTAGGAGGGGACCCCACTCGGATGGGTAAGATTTGCATCCAGGCTTAGGTCTCCGCATTAGAGACCGTGCGCTAGGCAGAGCGAGCGCCGGCGGAAGACCTCCCGAGCCCCGCCCTCCTTGGCAAGCCGCGGGCCTGGACTGCAGCCTCGTGGCCAAAGTGACACCTGTGAACTTTATTTTTAGTAGAGTGGCGTTCACGTGTAGCCACAAGAAAATCTGCCCTGGTCCTGTTTGGCATTGGTTTGGGATCAATGCCGAGTTCATTTATCTTTTCTTTTTTTTCCCTGAAGGCCAGCCTCGTGATTTAGGTTGAAAAATTGGGAATACAGAGTAATATTTTTTCACATTTTACTTCCAACCCCACCATTAAAAAGAAACAAAATGAGACAAGACTGTCCTCCTCCATCCCCCCCATAAAACCTCAATCTGTGCTGATCGTGTGATTTCAGTCTTATAGGGAGCTATTTGGACTACCAATGAGGTGGCCAAGAAGGAAACTGAGTCTTTAGGGGACTTGGATTATGTGCTTTTAAGACCATTAAAACGAAAACAAAAACTGCGTTCAATGAGAGGGGTTGCAAAAAGCCCTATGTTTTGTTGAAGAGGTTCCTGATGCATATGGGATCGGCAGGGAGACGCCAGTCCTTTGCCCGCCAACTCTTGCCAAGTGAGGCACTACTGTCCTTTGTATTCCCCCATAGTGACAGCTCCTGCCGATCTGCCCACAGATCTGCGAGAGCCAGTCGCTGCCCTGCTCGCCTTTCCTGGGAGTACAAGTGCACCCTTCTGGCTTTAAGGCAGCCATGCTGCCCTTTGCCCCACAGGCTGGACTTTTTTTTTTGAGACAGAGTCTCACTCTGTTGCCTGGGCTGGAGTGGAGTGGTGTCATCATAGCTGACCACAACCTGGACCTCCTGGGCTCAAGAAATCCTCCCACCTCAGCCTCCTGAGTAGCTGGGACCACAGACACGCAACACCATGCTCATCTAATTTTTGTAGAGATGGGGTCTCACTTGCCTAGGCTGGTCTTAAAACTCCTGGCCTCAAGCAATCCTCCCGCCTGGGCTTCCCAAAGTGGTGGGATTACAGGCGTGAGCCACCGCCCCCAGCCTGGATGACATTTTTTGATGATAGGAACCAAGCAACTTGACTTGGTTGCATGCCAGTATGGCCTGGACTGTGGGAGACCAGGGACCATGACAGGTCATACTTTTGCCTCTACAACACTGATACTCCTGGATGTGTGTGCCTTTTATAATCAGATATACACGTATATTCTTAGCGCACGGTGTTGGGAACATAACTAGGTAATTAAGTGGTACTTGATTTTAATAGGGACTTCGTGAACTGCAGAGGGATCAGCAGTAAAGCCTTCAATACTAGTAATAAATCTTCTCAGTATAACTTACTTTCTTCTTACATGAACTGCCTAACACTATTACGTTTTTCCTTTCGTTTCTTAGAGCATCTTCAAGAAAGCAATGGACGTTTGATTTCTGAGACCAAAGATCTTGGGAACCCGCAGGAAGAAGCATGGAAGCTGAAGAATCCTTCTGGAGAAGTCTGTGGCAAATCAAGAGAGCATGTTCCTTCTGGACAGTTCCCAGACACAAAACGTCAAGCTACCTCTGAGAATGGTAACTCTAGGAATTACTCCGAGTCTCTGAGAAATGAAAGCCTTCAGTCTCCTACAGAAGAATGGGGATTCCGCCAAGGGCGAGAGGCATCTGCTAACGCGGCTAAATGTTTTGCAGACAAGTTGCCTTCTAGCAACTTGCTCATGGACAGAGAGAGAGAAGTGAGCCTTGCCCAGCTGGACGGTCAGGGCCTGGCTAACCATGAGGACTGGGAAGTGGTGTCTAGGCACTCATCCTGGGGGCATGGTGGCGTGGGTGGCAGTGTTGAGGCTTCAGCGTTAAGCCCAAACCAGGGAATGGACTATGGGAGAGGCACTGTTGTGGAAGCAAGAGGTTGGGAAGCGCGTGGGAAAGCAGAAAGGGTGGCAGCAGTGTCATCAGAGACTCGGCAAGTTAGTGTCAGGTTCCAAGTCCATTACGTTACAAGCACTGATGGGCAGTTCCTTGCAGTAACTGGAGACCACGAGAGTCTTGGGAGATGGAGCACTTACATCCCCCTCCATTACAACAGGGATGGGTTCTGGTCTCATTCTGTTTTCCTGCCAGCAGATACGGTGGTGGAGTGGAAATTCGTGTTGGTAGAGAATGGGAAGGTTACTCGCTGGGAAGAATGCAGCAATAGGTTCCTGGAGACTGGCCACGAGGATAAAATGGTTCACAAGTGGTGGGGGCTCCATTGATGCAGTTTGCAAAGTACCGGATGTGGAGCACACGGAATCATTTAAAATAAAGGCAGTGTGACTCCACATTTAGCAATCCGCGTTGTTTCAAAGCCAGTGGCTTTGTCTAATGTGCAGAAATATATATATGCAGATAATGGTCCCAGTGAGCATGGACTTTTCCCCTGTGGCACTGATTGGTGGGTTTATGCTGATCCGTCACTACTTTAGGGCTTGATCGTCTTGGGGAGTGACTAGGCTTCACACTGTGGTCATGGAGCACAGAAACTAACTAGCCACGCACGGTTCAAGCTTGAGCCTTTAGGTGATCCTTAGACCAAAGCAGCAAAATAAGCCTCATTCAAAATAGCTGATTTCCTATCCATGCAGAGTAAGAAACGCTCTTTATGACACGTATTATACACCTCATATACACCCTATGGAACTGTGATCAGAAAATGCCGAGTCACTAGCTGTGATTAGTAAGCATATGAGAGAATGCTCTAAGACTCCCCAATGGGTTTCTTGTTTGCTTTTACCTGCCAGATACGGCTTTGAAGATAGCAAGTATGTCTTTGTTGGAATATTCTAAGGCTGGTGTAGAAACAAGGGGCCGAATCAGAGCCAGTCATCACGGAAATCAGTCCTGGGAGCAGCCCCCGAGGAAGGGAACGTGAATGGGGTTAGTGTGGACTGGGCGAGGTGGCCCGAATGACATCTCACAGAGGACCGGGAGGCACAGGCACAGCTGACTGCAGGGAGGGGACACTCACTCTTTACATGTGGGCGCCTCTGCGGGGCCACCCCTCTCCCACCGCCCTCCCCGCTCCCAGCAAATCGGGACTGTTCCATAGCAGTCGTCTCTGTCGCCTCCTCCCTCTCTTTCCATACCAGTAGCTATCCTGGGTAACAAATTTATACAGGACAGTGACATAGAAGTATATCTTTGCTCTGAGAAGAAACAAACATTTAAACTTTAAGTTATTATAACTGAACTAATAGTAATAAAATCTGTTTTAATTTCTTTATTAAATGTCTGAATTATTTGTCTAAATATTAGTATCATAATAGCCTAGATGTAAAATAAAATACTAATATTTTCCTCCACTAACAGTAGACACATAGAGAAAAGGAAACATCAAAAGCCACTGAAGAAGACTTATGAAGAGTCCGTTTTTCTCCTCCTTTTGGAGACAAAGTTTAGAAAATTTCATGTAAAACTGTACACCTTACCTTTGTTTGGAGGGAAGGTCAGCGTGCCTGTACTTGAAAATGAATTCTTATGTTAAAACAACTTACAGTAAGTGTAACATCTATTGGTGAAACAATGTTTAATCCTGGTAGCGGATGATCTTTGCTGAGAAGAAGGAACCCAACTGAAAACGGCATTAGAAAGTGCTTAAAGGAACTGTGTTTGACAGTTTTGGGTCCTGGCGCTTCTATGTCAAATTTACATATACTGCTCACCAGGACTGCACAGAATGCCCAAGGTAAAGCAATTTAAGTAAAAATCTCTTTAGAATTCTATCATAGCCATTTTATCATTACCTGATGAAATAAAAATTAATCTTTCAGTAAAGCCAATTGACAAGATAAAATATTAACTTTATATTAAAAAATCATTATTTAAAATGGGATGTGCAGAAACAGAAGAATTTTCTTGTGTGAACACGTATGCCCTACTCGGTTTACCCTCTGCACAGG